GGCAGCTTTAAGGGTAATTATTTTCAAGAGGGGGGGGGGGGTAGTGGGGTGTGCCTTCTACAGAGAGAGCAGAATTTCCAAAGGTATGTAAAAGTATCACCAGTAACAACTATCACATTGAATACCTCATTTTTCAACTCTAACTCTACTTTTCAGGCAGAATGAACAAAAGTGCATTCTTAAGGATGTGACCACCTTTCTTCTTTCCTATTCAATTCACTGAAAAAATGAAACCGTACTGCACAAAACTCCTACAATCTATGATACTAGACCTCACAAAAGTGAACACATGCATTTTGTTTTACAACTACCTGAAACTCAAAGCAAATCATGTGATTTACTGCAGTGCATCGATTGTGTATTTTAAACAAAATTTAAAGAGAGAGAATGAGACAGAAAGGTAGAAGGAATGAGTTCTGGAGGTTAGGAGTATAGTAGCTGAAAACTGAATGACCAAATTTTATCCGGGGGAACTGTTGGCCAAGACAGCAGGAGAAACAATGCAATGTTTCTCCGGCACTACATTGGAGTGTCAGTCTAGATTTTGAGCTGAAAGTCCCAATGTGAGCCTTGAATCCACAATCTTCTGACTCAAGATGCAAAGGCACTACCAACTGTGCCAAACTGCAAAATGACAATAGCTTTTTTTAGAAAAAACTAGATGACAATGTTGGTGTCCATCATTCCTAATCAGGAAATGATGTAGAATTGAGCATCAGGGGATATCTCAAGAGCATTTATCTGTGAAAAAGTGTTTTTGTCAACCTGAGAGGTGTGGTCAACCAAAATCCTATACAACTATGCTATATTAATTTGCTGTCTTTCAGGGATTTGTACTTTCAACCAAGAAAATAAAGTTCACGCAGTTATATTCAACCTTCACTGCACAGCATGCATAAAAATAACTCTTTGGAAAATAAGGCTTGAAAAAGAACTGCATTCGTGCCAGAATTCCTGGACTACAATTGGTATACATAACTGTGCGGGCACCAAATGTGGTGGGAAGCATGTATAATTGCTCTGTTGGGATTCTAAGCAGAAGCTGTCAGGGTGGGGTGAGGGAAGGAAGGGAATTAAGGGAAGGGAAAGACCATCGTCACCAAACTGGGTGTATACCTACTTTTCCAAAAAAAAAACTCAGGGCACAGCATGGGAGTAGATCATCTGCAGTTGAATGTTGACAAGGCAGACTTTCCTGCTTGGCTCCCCTAAGCACCTTCTTACCTCAGGTGCTGACAGAATCAACCTACGTGGATGATCACTCCACCTTGTGGAACCGGTGCAGAACCTCATTGTCTCGTCTGACTCCCAACTGTCTTTCAAACCCCAAATCCGAGCTCTTAACTTCTCAGGTTTCCCTCTCCCCTCGGGCCTTCACAACCTTTATTTATTCACACCTTTGTCATGTCCAAGTTTGACTACACCAAAGTTCTGCTCCTGAACTCCTTAGCTCTTCCCTATACAGGGTTCAGACTATCCAGAACTTTGCAGGCCGTGTCCTCTTCCAAACCAGGCTCCACAAGCCTTTCAACTCCATCCTCATTAGGCTACATTGGCTCCCTATTCCTCAGTGAATTGAGTTTAAGATCCTTATCCTCACCTTTAAATCTCCACAGTCTCACTGCCACCCCACATCTGTTACTTCCTTCAACCCTGGCAATTCCTTTTGTTTAGTCAGCACCAGCCTACATCATTTGCCCCACCCTATCTGCCCCCTATCCCTGCGACCCTCGCTGAAGGTCTGTCTCCAGACCTACCTATTTGACCGTACTTTTGGTCATCTCTCCCCTACCCATCTGCCTGGGTTCCCCCAGCTGAAGTGCCAAACAGCATTTTAGGCATCCTCCTGATGTGAAAGGCACTATATAAATGTAAATTTGCATTGTACTGTAAGAATGAAAAATTAGAGCGGATTTATCCTCCAATAAGCATTAGCATTTATATAATTGCATTTTCATTACATATGAAACTTAAAAGTCAAACCTTTCCCTACTCCTGGCTGAAGACCCACTTAGTCAAAAGATTCTCTTAAACTGCAGTGAGATAAACTACCATAAATTGCACTTACTTGGCACCGCAATTTATTTTACCATGCAAATTAAGACATAATCCGGTAACAAAGGTGATCTTAATCTGCCTAGTACAGCATTAGCTTTTTTTAATGCTTTGCACCATTTGTTAATATCAATTTAGTTTTACATAATTAATCACCTACAAATTTTGGTCACCCTATTTGGAGCCATAGGTTAAAACATGATCACCTAGTCTGAACAGACATTTATACTTATTCCTCCCATCACAAGTCTAGCTTTATCAATGCCTGCTGCGTCTCAGAAGGAAAACTGCTGTACCATTTTCAAGCACATCAGCAAAGGAGCAGCACCATTAAGAGATTTTCCAATCCATCCAAACTACAGATAGTCTTAGTTGTATGTAGTTGTGGAAGGCATTGTAAAATTGGAGAAGAAAGGCATTACAGAGGGCAGATTAACTCTCTAGACTTCACTTTAACCCCTTCTTCAAAAGCGTTTTAATAAGAACAATTTAAACAGCACTCTTGATATGCTAATAATAATTTTAAATACTGACAATTTACACAAGTAAAAAAAAGAGTTTCAGAGTAAATAATTATTGAGTCCTAAAAAACTAAAGACTAATTATCGATGCTATCAGAACTTGGTGCTTAATCCCCGAAACAGATTCTACCATTTAGTAACAAAGCACATATATATTCACTGATAATGTTTCTGCAATGATTAAATGTACCTTAAGCGTGAAATTAATGAAACACTAAACAAAATCTGGAACTAAAAAGAGCACCAGTTGCCAATATAAAATTACATCTGCAATACTTGACAATTTTTCTCAACACCACTATACAGTAAAAGAAATGCAGAACATTGCCTCAAGAGTATGTCGCTCAACACGTTTTCTAGGCTTGCACTAATTGCTAGATTGTCAACACTTTCTACTTTCCACAAAGATACTTGGACAAAACCATTCGCTTCACAAAATTGCTGATTCAGCCTTTTTAAACCAACCAACATCCAAGCACGAACTGAGGATCTCTTTACCAGGCCTGTGAAAATTTCATGAAAATTCTTCAGTAGTCTTGAGAATCTAATTACATTTAAGCACTTATTAAAGTAAAAAAAAACTTGATACAATGTGTAAACACGAGGTTTTAAAAATACACCCATGTGGAAAGGGTCTGGCTTCACTACCTTGAATCAATAGTTTCACAATCTTATCTACTCCTGGCAACCTTTTCTTTACTTTTACCCCACCCCCAAAACAATCCCAATCTAATCAATCAAGGGAAAGTAGTCGAACTGACTGCTTGCAACATCGCTCCTTCCAACTACAGTTGATTGTTGTGTATTAAAACATATTATATTAATGTTCATTTGTTTCACCATATAAAAACTCTTACACATTAAATAATTGTAATCTTGATTGTACCATTAAGATTAATAAACAAGACATTGGCGACAATGTTAAGTTGCACAAAAGATTATTATTAATTATTATTATGTAGATACCCATAATAAGTGATTTAAACATGCTTTTGTTGAAGTAAACCTTGCTTTTACATGCAGACAGACTAAATTTGATACGACGGATTTTTCTATTTAAAAAAATCAGCCAACACAATGAATGCTACAATTTATGAAGAAAAGTACTTTAATGATCATCTGCTAGAAAAAAAAACCCTCTTTACATCCTTTGCCGTACCACAAAACAATTGTAGAGACAACACTGAACAAAATGACTGGATGAGCTTAAGGCGTTTGTCTCCAACCATGATGGGATCTCCCCCCCCACCCCCCACCCCCACTGAACACATCAGCGGTTTAATTCCACTGCCGGGGGTTTCTTCATCATCTTTCCATTTCTGAAATGCACAGCAGTGCCACCTTCCTCCCAGGGCCCCACAGTTTGTAAACTCTGTTTAAAGGGATACAGTTTCTGGTCTCTTCGCGGCCCTACCTCGGCTCCAATTAATTATCAAAAAGTCAAGTCACATGAGAATGCGTCGCCTTAAAGCACGTTTTACAGGGGGGGAAAAAAAAGTTTTGAGGAAACGGTCGGCTACATTTGCCCACTATTCCCCGTCGAGCCTCAGAAAAAAATCCTCCGGAGTCTCCCCTCACAAGTACAGTTTTCGGCTGTTAACTCTTTTGTTGCACACACTACGGTTTTCGGACAAGACTTCCTTCCAATGGGTCTGAGCGCTAAAATAAAAAAAGTGAGGAGGGGGAAAAAAGAGGGAAGGAGGGAGTGGGCTGAGGGGGGGGGGGGGGGGGGGGTTTGTGGGGGAGGGGATGGGGGGGGGGGGCGGCTCAAATTCGTCCAGTTGGGATTTTTTTAACCGCAAAATAAAGTCACGGTCTTGCGTTCAGAGAGAGAGAGAAAAAAAAGTGTGGGGGAGGGGAAGTTGGGAACATTTTTTTTGTTGCACTTCTCTAAAAGATAAACTCACGTTTGCAACCCCCCCCCCTCCCCACCCCACCCCACCCGGGCCGCGGACCCCCCCTCTCACCTCACCCCCCGCACCTCACCGAGCGGCGACGACGTGCAACTGTCCCCCCCCCCACACACACCTTTTTTTAAAAAAAAACACAGCATCGAGCAAGAAATTCAACATAACTCGCTTCTCTAAAGAAAAAAAAGAGACAACACTCCGAGATACCTAATAGCTCTCCTCGCTCTCTCTCCGCCACTTTACATTGCACACACTTTACATTTACACACGCCGACAATTACAACATTTCACAACCCAGGAAGACTTTCCAACTGTACTTCACAATAAGAACCCCCCTGCCTGCCTTGCCCTGCCTGCCCTGCCCTGCCCTCCCTGCCACACACACACCACAAGCAAACCAAGAGTCCGGCAGCTTCTTCGGGTCAAAGAGGGAGAAAGGTGGTGGTGGTGGCGGCGGCGGTTGGAAGGAGGGAGAGGAGAAGAGTGCAGATAAATGGAGATATAGTACACTTACTTAACGAAACCTTGGGGAGCGTCTGCCAAGATGAGTTAGCTGGTTAGATGATGATAATAATAATAATAATATAGTATGTATGTAATGTTTAACTGTGCCGGTGCTTGTGTCCGCCTCTCACCCCGGGGTCCCTCTCAGCTCGTTGACTCACACTCACTGCTGGACTGAGGGAGGCACTGACTGACTGAGCGAGTGGAGCTTACGTGAGGGAGTGCGCGTGCGCAAGCCGCCTCCCTCCCTCCTCCTCCACTGAACAGAAGGCGACGCCTCGCGGGCGCCACAGCCCCTCCCCCCTCCTCCCCCCCGAGGCGAATAACCGTCGCCGCGCGAGAGCAGCTCCGGCTCGAGGCGGCCGCTAACGGCTGATTCACGCGCTTGCGGCCAGAGGAAGGGGCGGGGCAGCGCAGCGCAGCGCGCGGGGCCGTGAGCTCAGCCGAGCGTACGGCGGACACACGTTACCGCGGGCTTCAAGTTTCTCCGCGCACCCATTACTGACCCTCTCAAAATGACAGTCGGTGGTAGTGGTGGTGGTGATGGTGGTGGTGGAAGGGAAAGTGGAGTCATTAAAGAGATGTAAGTTTGTAGGCGGGAGGGCGAGAGAGAGAGAGAGTGTGTGGCCGGGGCCGGGGCGGCATCCCGGAGGTTTCCACTCCGCCTGCTCCCCGGCCCCGGCCCCGGCCTCGGCCTCGTCAAACGCTCGAGTCAAGGTGCGCACACAGCTCGCCGGGGGGAGACGGCAGATGCGGTGCTGGAGCCGGGCAGCGTGTGTCCGGGCACCGTCCGGCCACTTGCGGCCGCTCGGGCTGTAGGGGTCGAAATGTAAATGTCCTGCGCCCACGTCGGGACTCCCTCCTTCACTTGGGCCTTGTGTGGTGATCGCCCGCAGCGCTGGACCCGCGCGGTGGCGATTTCCGGGCGCAGACGAGTTTGGTGAACGTTTTGACTTTTCAGGGCTATGATGTGTCGGCTCACATTTTCGGGCGTTCTGCTTCCCTCCCCGACTCAGCAGGTTCCCGGCCGGCTCTAAACCACACATGGTTACACAGCAGGTGACACCCCCCACCCCCCTCCCCGCCTTGGCAAGGCGTTTCCCAAAACCAGCACCCAAATGGACGACACATTGAAGTGTTATCTTTCCCCCAGAAGAGTTCTTGCTACAGTCGTCGTAGCCGGGCTGAGGGCAAAGGTTTAAAGTCGGGGCGTATTTATATCACTTGCTGCAGGAGCCCAAAAGCTCGTCTCGTTTATCGCTGCGATTTGTCATTCTGGTAACAGTCACACCATTATATTTGCACACAGAAGAGCTTCATTATATTTTGAGCTACAGGCAGCTCCTCATCGCCCTCTGGAAAACTCACCAGCTATCAAGATAGGTTCTCCAGATGAAGAGCGATGAGTTCTATTCACTGTGTGTGTGTGTATGTTATATATATATATATATTTAGGGGAATCCAAAAGTCATTGGGGAAAGTTATTTTTTTTCATCTTAGATCTGAGGAAACTGAACAAACATTTGAAGGAGGAAAAGTACAAGCTTTACTTTCCCCTTTCTCATTGTCCTCTGCACTTATCAACTTTCAGGGTCACATGCACTACTGCAGGGTGTTTTTCTCCAGCTTTCTGTTTATGAAATTCATGTCAGTCTGCAGTTCTTGCATGTCTATCCATATTTAGATGATAGGCTCATAAGAGGTTTCTGGCAAGAGATTACTTGAGCAGCTGTTGAACAGGTACTCACAACTAGTACAATTCTGACAGATTCAAGTCCTACATTGGGACTTTGAACTTGCAATCTAGGTTGACCCGCCATTGCAAATTTGGGGTGCACTACATTGTCAGAGGTCCAATCCTTCAAGTGAAACATTAAACCAAAATCCCATCTACTTGTTCATGTGGATGTTAAAGATCTCATAGCATTACTTGAAAAGAGGAGGGAGTTTCTTCAGTGTCCTGGCGAATAATCCCCATCCCCTGATAAAATTGGCATTCGCCAATGGCTATCCTCTGAAGTGCTTTGAAATGTCTAAACGATGTGATGAGGTGCTCTATCTGATGCAAGGATTAGTATATTATAATTTGGCTCTGATGCAATTTTAAGCCTGCTGTACACTTCTTGACAGATCACACAATGGCTACGCAATAAACAGGATGCAAATTACTTTGGTTCCTCTGTCAGATTCAATGTAGACGATCCTGAGAATGATATTTCTCTAACCCAAGGCAGTGAGCATCTTGGATTAGAGAATCTAATTCTTCACTCAGCTCCATCGATGAAGATGTTGTCACAGAGTCACCAGAGGGCAGGTGGGAAGATCATCTTGTGCAGACGTTCAAGGTTGACACCACAGATGAAGAGAGTGTGGAGTGGGACAAATTAAGACATTTTCTATTGAGAACGAACTGGACCTGTGGGAGACTGCAAGAACTTTAGAACATAGCCTACAGACTGAAGCAGTCAAGGTCAAGTCTACAGCTCACCAAACAATATTAGATAGTATCTAAGTGCTAATGTATAGGACATATGCACATTACTGAACTATACAGTAGTTTGTGTTCTTGTGAATAGTTTATTTTATGCTATGACACAGAATTTACATTAATGTGGTCAAAATTCCTCAGTCTGATTGCTGACCTTATTAGTGAGTTTTCACTACTAGTTGCTTGCCCATGGCTGTCACAACTACAGGATGACATTTCAGCACAGCATTTACTAGAGGTGGACATACTAAAAGTTGGACTTTTTTTCCCTGCCTCATGTATTTATCCTCATTATAGAGCTTGTAGTACTAAGTGGAAGAAATCTAATTATTAACCAAAAACATTATTCTGTTTGATTCTGGCAGTACCTTTTATAATAAATATATAATAATCCTTGCATTTGATAGAGCCCTTATCACATTGAGATATTCTTGAATATACCCAAACTCTTAGTTATGCTTTCAACATCTCAGGAATAGATTTTTTTCCCCCCAATGATTTCTTCACTAACCTTTCCCAGACTTGCTTTTCAGATGCTTCAACTGATTCAGAATACTGCTGTCCAGGTTCTTTTCCATACAAGTCTATGGATACCACTGCCCCTTCACCACCCCTATCTTCACCTACCTCAGAATATTTGAGTATAAGATCTTTGACCTGGTCTTCAAATCCTGTTTTCTTCAGCCCGTACATTATTAATCGAGTTCATGACATGCTCCTCTTTCTAACTACCAGGCCACTTCAGAATTTTATCTCTCTCCAAAAGTTCCTAAAACATGTTTGGATTGTGCCTTTCATGAACACATTTAAATGTCTTATTTCCCTGCTCAGGGAATCACCACTACATTTGCTAAGTGTTTTGAGATGTTTTTTGAAAGGTATTATATGCATGCACATTGTTGCTCATAACATTTTAGAATTTTAAATCATGGAAACTGGCCACTTGACCCATCAAGTTTCACTAGAATTTTTCTCCACTTGAGTGACCTTATCCAATCTCATTGACTTGCTTGTATCCCATATCCTTTACCTTTTCAAATATTATCTAATTCCCTTTTAAAATAATTTATGGACTCATTCTATAACTAAATTCCATGTTTCAACTACCATCTGCTTAAGATTTTTTTTTCTGACCTCCCTTTGCTCTTTATTGTCATTATCTTAAATTTGTGTCGACTTGTACACTCATTAACCCATTAACGTAATATTATTTACAGATCCATAATTTTGAAGATCTCATCTGATTATGAAAAAAAAGTTTATAAGTCTTTCTTCATAACTAATACATCTTTGTTTAGTCATGTATTACTTCATAACTAATACATCTTTGGTAACATCCTGGTGAGTCTTGTTCTGCACCTTTTTATTGTTTTTTTATACTTCATATTCTATTATCTGCAACAACTTTAAGTACTTATGGAATACTGCACTCTTGGTTGTTTGGTTTCAGCATGGTTTTATTGAAATCGTGCTATTGTTTGTTTATCAACCATACCTGATCTATTATTCTATCTATTCTCTGGGCAAAACCCTACTCCTCACAAGCAAGAGAACCTGGGTTCAGTTCCTGGACAGGGCGAAATGTTAGGCAAGTTTCCTTACTCCACACGTTTATGTAGCAGTAAGTAGGAACTTGATTGTTAGTTGATTGGCGAATTGCTTTTCTAGGGGTAATAATCTCCACCTCCCCTCCCCCCAAAAAAATTGGTCACTCCATCACAGTTTGTGGGACATTGCTGTGTGCCATGTTTTGCTCACAAAATACACAATCAATCCACTTATTTACAATATATCCTGTGAAATGCTTTGAGATGCCTCAACAATGTGATAAGATGCTATATCAAATGCAAGTAGTATTATTACTACTAAAGAAATTATAACACTCCATTTACACACATGATTTTTAAAAGCAAAAAATATTTTGGAATAAATTAAAAGAAGCCTGCAGCATCTTCTGAAACAGATGGAGACTGGCCTACCCAGAATTGAGGAAGGATTTGCCTCATCACCTTGAAAAATCTTCACAGGTAAATATTGTCATGTATAGTCAGCAACCATTTGATTCAGCAAGATCCCAACAAATAGTCATGCGAGACCAGTTAACAAAATCACTTTTATTTCCAAGTAATGTTAAGGCTTACCTGAACATGCAAACAAGAACTCAGGTTAATATCTCATTGTTTGAAAGCGAATGGAGCATTCCCCTAAAGTTGCACTGGAGTTTCATTTTAGTCGTGAACTTGAGTCTTGATGTAGGGATTGAACTCATAATATTCTGACCAAGTGAAAGTGCTACCAAGTGAGTCAGAAAGTACTGGTTGCTCCTTCTACCTAAAGGGCAACCACTACAAAATCATTTCTAGACTATAAGAGACAAGAAACTGCTTGTATATATTTTAATTTTGAGGGATGTTCAGAGTATTCGATACAGACAATAGGAAACAGTCATTAGCATTGACAATGACTACTGGGTTTGTGGTAACACATAGCTTTTACTAACCCACGTGACTGACCTTACCCACTTTTTCTACTAGTGTTGGCCTTCTTTCTAATCTGAAAAATTGAGCATGAAGACCACACATTTGTTAGTGGTTTGACTATACTTATCTCATATCTGCCTGTTAATGCTTCTTTGCATTAGGCATAAGAGTCATTGTTGGTCTGCTTCTATTGGAGGCTGTAGAAGAAGGCATCTCAGGAATGGTAAGCAGTGGCCTAACATTCTGCTATGTTGAAAGAGTGGCATATGTTCCAATCTATAATCACTCCTTCAATTAGGTCAGCTAGCTGAACAGTCAAGTGATTGGCATGAAGACCAATCTCTGAACTCCTGTGAAATGGCCCTTGATGTCAATAATAATAATCCTTGCATTTGATATATCGGCTTATCAAAATATAATCGTTTCCCCCAAAAAATATAGTCAATTCACTTTCCAGCATGTTCTGTGAAGCGCTTTGAGATGTCGCAAAGGCATGATAAAGCACTATATCAAATGCAAAAACAACAAAATTGCATTTATAGAGCGCCTTTCGCGTCGGGAGGACGTCCCAAGGCGCTGGACAGTTGGATGCAAGGATTATTATTATCATATCAAGATGGTCACAACATCTTGGCAGCATCAGGACCACAGCAACTGGCAATTCAACTGGTTGCAAAATACAGTCAATCCACAATATATCCTGTGAAGCGCTTTGAAATGTCTCAACAATGTGATAATAATAATTCTTGCATTTGATATAGCACCTTATCACGTCTTTGAGATGTCTCAAAGTGCTTCACAGAATATACTGTAAAGTGTAGTGACTATATTTTGCAGGCAAAATATATATATGGCGCTATATCAAATGCAAGAATTATTGTAAATGTAAGGAGTGAATAGTAAAGAAAATGAGCAGGAAACTGCAAAATGACCTTGAACATATGGGGGAATAATGGCAATGGTAGTTCAATAATAAATTAGTACACTTTAGATATGAAAACATCAGAAGATAATACATGCTAAATTGACATGAGCTGTAGCGTTTTGGATAGTCAGTAGTAGCATTCTTAAGTTGGAAGGTTGTGGGTTCAAGCACCACGTCACAACTTGTAGTTACGTAGTTTAAGCTGACATTTCCAGTGCTGGGGGAGGGGCAGTTGCAGTGCTAGAGGTGCTATTCTGAGGCCTTAAAACTAAGGTCCCGACTGCTTATTCAGGTGGGCATTAAAGATCCCATGGCACTATTTGAAAAGAGAAGGGAGTTTGTTCGGATCTGGAATGCATTGCCTGAAAGGATGGTGGAAGCTGATTTGATAACAACTTTTAAGAGAGAAGTAGATAATTATTTGGGGAGGACAAGTTTGCAGGGCTATGGGGAGAGAGGGGGGGAATGGGATTGATTTGGATAGCTCTTTTCAAAGAGCCACAGACACGATGGGCCGAATGGCCTCCTGTGCAATATAATTCTATGATTCTCCCAGTTTCCTGCTCAACAATCTCGAAATAAAGTTGATCATTCATTTCAGGACTGTTTGTGAGATATTGCTGTACGCAAAATTGGCTGCCTCATTTGCGCACAAATGCGCAGTCACTCCACTTTATAGTAAATCCTGTGGAGTGCTTTGTGATGTCTTTCTGACGTGAATGGTGCTGTATAAAATGCAAGGATTATTATTTAAGCGGTTCAAGATGCTACCCCGTGTGAAGGGCACTTCTGTTCTATAAGTGCAAGTTGTTGTTGTCTACAGCATGTGGATGGAAGAATTGGGAAGTCAGGTGTACATAGAGTTCGCGCCGTCTAGCCTGGACGTGATGAAAGCATGAACAAGGGTCTTGGTGGCCCAAGGGGAGAGGTGGTGGCGGAGGTGGGCTACGTTGCAGAGGTGGGAGAAAGCTGAATGGGTAAGAGCATAGATATGGGGTTTGAAGGACAAGCACTGAATAGCAAGCTTTTCTGCTACTTGTCCAGCTCGGACCACTCTACCTTTTAGGACTTTGGCTTGCAGGGTTAATAGGATCTGAACGAGTTGGAGGATTCCCTAGTGATAGTCAGTTTAAAGGACAATTGAGAGTAAATCTAGAATCACATGTGTGCAGTACATTCTAACGTATCAAAATAATATGATTAAGGCAGTCTCCAAGTCCATTGTAAATACTGTAATTCAAAATGTATTTTCCCACAGAATTATATTTGTGCAGATGGCTCCTACTTTTGCACTTTTTTTTGAGCACAACAATTGCGCAACTTTTTTTCTGTGGTGTTTGATGAGGGAAAGAGACTGAATTAGCGCATGAGATCACCTTGTGCCAAGTTCAGCACACTCAAGGGCCTCGCTGCAAAAAGGATCATGTGGCACTCCATCATTACTTGAACAAGGTTGCCTTTGCTAAAATGCTAAAACATGCCTCAATATGCACTCTGCAACTAAAATTAAGGCACCTGAATGTATCCATACCAGCAATACCCAAACGTTAAGTTAGTGGTTCTACAATTGCAATATCAATTGTTATTAAATAATAATTTAGAAATGTATTAATGACAACCATTTCATTTCACTTTTTTGTTTGATTTTCAATGGCCTTTCATATTTAGAGAATATCTCAAAGTGCTTCATATGATTGTATTGTAATGTCTAATAACGGTGTAGGCGAAAACAACAGTCATTTTATGCACAGCAGTGTAAGATTATATTTGTGATGCTTAATGTTTTTTAAAGTTTTTTAATGAATCTCTATATACTTCTAGAATGTAACCTACCCATAATCGTTTAATAAGGTTTTGATTTAATGACCCCCCCTTAGCAGGGATTAAAAGTAGCTTGCTCGACCAGTTGAAGTCAGTTTCTGATTACGTTTCATATTTTCCTGGGAAGATGTGTACTCCTTTGAAATAATGAGCAATCAGGTCCTTAAGCCAGATATAAGAACAATAGACCTCAGGGAGAAAAGGCTACAGCCTCAGACACCTGCCTATTTCAAGGCTGAAAAACATGCAGGAGAAGGCTGCCAAAACTAAGGTTGCCCATCTCTCTTTCTCCCTATCAGTTCTGTGCCCATGGGAAAAGAGCCTGCGCAAGGTTGCTAGAAGCTTGCCATGTATTGGGGCTTCATTCTGTGACAAGGGAAGGCGGAGTTAGAAACACTATGAAACAGTGGAAGTTGACGTGGGAGTCGACAGAGGGTCAACGCTTCTTCCCAGTGGGACAAGGTAATATCGATTTTACTGTATCTATTGTCTCAATTGGAGCTTGTGTGACTTACTTAATAAACTTTTTACATAACCGTATTGGTCGTCTCCATCCGACTCTCTTACAGCAGTGTCCCACAAACAGTCATGAAGTGAGTAACCAATTTAATTTGGAGACTTGTTGGCCAGGACACCAGGAGAGACTCCCTTCTCGTTTCGAGTCGTGCCATGGATCTTTAACATCCAGGCAGACGGGACTTCAGTTTAACCTCTCATCTGAAGGATGGCACCTCTAACAATGCAGCACAACCCCAGCACTAGATTGAGCATTGCTTGACAAATAATTCATAAGAGTGTTTGATTTTTGATAGCTGGGAGATGAAATTGCAACAAGACGACATATCTTTTTCAAAATAAAATGACATAAATCTTTTGTATTATTTGGAAGCAAAATGAGTTTAAAAGATTCCCTATTTGGGATTTCTACATTTAATTAAAATAGATTGAAACAATCTTAAACTCAGAGTAAGTAAACATTATGCAAATAAATTAAAAAATACTGTTAAGTACATTTTTGGAATGGAATGATTCTATGCTTGATATCAATCAAAAAACAAAGCTTTAGGGCTATAAGTTTAAAATCAAATTGGTTTAACTTTATATATGTAAACATAATACTTAATGTTCTTGTCTAAGTAAATATCTTTAATACATTTGCTGAACATAGCCCCAGCCACTGAATCTGTATCATAAAGTCATTCCTGTCTTGATCACTCTATACCCAGCACTAATGGTTTTAGCTACATGCTGCTCCTTTCGTTTGGCACAAGACCTGAATGAACTATTGTTTATCTCAAATTCTTAAGACCAACCTACAATAGTTTTTTTATGTGCTTCATTATGTTTAACAAAGCAATTATTAGAAATAAAATGGTATGCACATTGCAGTGAAATTTATTTGGAATAGAAATGCACAAGAGGTTTTCGTTGTACAGCAGAAGAAATTAGTGCATCCCCAAACTCATGTTAAGACCTTCAATTGATGGATATTGGCCAGTTATTTGCACCAAGTAGATAAATATCCAGTGTTGATCCACGTGAATGAGACACTTGACTAGAAATCAAGGTTAATCTGTGCTGTAATCTGTCCTGTGCTGTAATCATTGGTTCTAAAAATCTTTGTAATAACTTAACTAAGGTGTTTTCCAAGAAATTGTAAGCTTTACAAGTGGTTACTATTTGTAGTACTATGGAAATTTGCTACTTTTTTATTTGCAATTGCATTTTAAAATTCCTGTTTAGTACTTGTGGTCCAGAGACCTGTAGCTCAGTGGTTAGAGTATTTGCCTCACAAGCGAGAGACCCGGGTTCGATCCCTGGCAGGGCGAAATTTTGGGCAAGTTTCCTTACTCCACACGCCGTTTACTTAGCAGTAAGTAGGAACCCGGTTGTTGGTCGATTGGAGGATTGCTTTTACGGAGATAATACTTCCTTCAAAAAAATAATAAATTGGTCACTTCAATCTTGATTGTTTGTGGGACACTGCTGTGCATAATTGGTTGCCCGGTTTTGCCCACAAAATATACAGTCAATTCATTTTACAGTATATTCTGTGAAGCACTTTGAAACATCTCGAAAACGTGATAAAGCGCTATATCAAATGCAAGGATTATTATATTGTGCTACTGATATCACACATGGTTATGAGTATGTAATATTTCAACAATAGCAGTCAGGATTGCATTTGGAGGTTTTCAAAAGTACAAGATTGAATCATCAAAAATCAAAAATCATCATTCTTTTCCTGTCATTGGCTACAAATTTTAATGAAACCATCACTTTAATTCTCAAAATGTAGCACAATTGTAGTACAGTTGTCAGTTTAGCGCAGTTGGTAACATTCTTGCCTCTGAGCCAGAAATTTGTGGGTTCAGGCCCTACATCAGGACTTTGGACTGGTATAGTCTAGGCCAGGAGTAGCAATTATTTTGGCTGGCGGGCCACTTTACGAGTTTTGGTAAGCGTCGCGGGCCACACACTTAACATAGATGCAAATGCTTAATAATAGCTCAAAATCAAGTATTACACTTGTACATGCATAAAATAAAGTCTATATAATTGACATTAAAATTAGGTTAAATAAAAACAACTCATTGAGCAGATATTTATTCACATATCGATGAGAATGTGAGAAGCTCGTTCAATGGGAAGAACGAAAGCACTGATGTGCGTTAACCAGACAATTGAAGTCAGCATCGTCTCCATTGTTGCAATGCGGAATACTGCTGCAAGGTGGTCATCAGTCATCACAGATCTATGTTTTGATTTATTGAATTTCATCATAGAAAATGTCTCCTTGCATATGTATGTTGATCCAAGCAGCACAAGCATCCACCGAGCATGAGCCTTTATTTTTGGAAAGGTATATTCATTAAGAGAGATGTAAAAACTGGGAAGCGGCACTGATTTGAATTGCTCCGAAAGCAATGGATCATATTGTAAGTCAATAAGCTTGAATTGGAGGTCAAATGGGGCTTTGTCAACATCAAATGAGAAAGGTGAAGAGACCAAAGACACATCGTTTTCGATCAAATTGAAATCCTGGAATCTGCGAGAAAATTCGGCATGTACGTAGTGACAAAGTATACTTTTTAAGGTTTTGATCGCAAAAAGTAATCTGCTGCAAAGTTGGAAAGTGGACGAACAGCCTGTTTTCTATCTGACACGATAAAATAATTTTGTCATAAATGACCTGACACTGCAATACAAATCATACACAAAGGCCCCCTTCCATTGCAGTTTTGAATTCAGTTCATTCATGTGGCGCATGATATCAACTGCAAATGCGAAATCATAGAGCCAATTCGCATCATTCAGCTGTGGGAAATCCAAAACTTTTTGTTTCATGTCAAAAATAAATCAATCTCTTCTCAATTCCCACACTCTTTTCAAGGCCTTTCCTGAACTAAGCCGTCTTACATTCGTGTGATACAGAACATCCATGTGCTCAGATTCCAATTCCTCAAGCAGAATTATAAATTGCCTGTGGTTTAATCCTCTTGCTCGAATGTAGTTGACCACTTTTGTAACTGCTTAGTTTTAGAACACTCTTACAGAGGACCTCTTGGTGGATAATGCAGTGTAGAAAAACAATATTCTGGATTTGTTTCTTTGATTTGATCTTGAATTCTTTTCAGTAACCTTGGGCTACCATCAGTGGTCACATTCACCAATGTTTTCCACTCCACTCCTAATTTTAAGATACACTTATTTACTGCCTCCAAAAAATCTTTTCCAGTTGTTGTATCTTTCATTGACTGCATTGATGCCAATTCTTCTGTGAGCTCAAAATGTTTGGTGATACCTCGAATAAAAATGATCAACTGGGCTGTGTCTTTGACATCACAACTCTCAAGTGTGGTGAAAAACATGCCAAATTGCTTACTTTATTTTGTAACTGCACACTTTTAATTTTATTTTTTAATTTATTTTTATTGATTTGTTTTATTTTCCACCCACACTGGTAAAAAAAGTATTTAAAAGTCCATTCTTTGTTGAATATTCGGCCTTCAGCGTCCACTTTCTGCTTCTTTGATAAACTCATTTTGATTTAATGTCTTCTTGAATGAAAAGTATTGCTGTGGTTGCTGTGTGCACGTGTTTGAAAATTTGCCGATCCGTACATTTCTGACATCAGCCTGATTCAACACTTAAGGGAGCGTGCGTGCAACTAAGCAGTTTAATTGGCTGATGTTCCCGGTCAGATTCAAATGCAAAATTTGTGCGACTTTCTGGGACTGAACAAACTATAATTTTTTCTATTGCTAGACACAATGATGGGCCGGATAGAATCATTTGTCGGGCTGGATGTGGCCCGTGGGCCATATTTTGCCCACCCTGGTCTAGGCTAAAACTCCAATGCAGCTGGGTTGTGCTGCATTGTCGAAGGTGCTGTCCTTCAGATAAAATGTTAAACTGAGATACTGTCAGCCATTTCAGGTAGATGTTAAGCATACATGACATTTGCATTCAAAAAGAGAAGAGTGTTTTTCCTGGTATCCAGCCAACAATCTCCCAAATAATATTGGGAATTCGCTTCATGACAGTGGGAGCTTGCTGTGCACAAAATTGGCCGACAAAATACACAGTCATGCCACTTCACAGTGAATCATTGAGACATCCTCCTAATGTGAAAGGCATATCAAATGCAAGCATTATTAATAAATGTACAGAATATAGTATAAAGTGAAGCACCAGATAGGCCTGTGCAACTGAGAAGTGTATAAACTTTTAATAATTATTTTACTGTTGTATGCGCTCATTGTTCTCATTTGTACACATGGCCAAGAGTACAAGTTGTAAGTACATTGAAATAAATTATTAATTTCAAGGAGAAACCTTAAAAGTTTAAATAATGGGTAGGATATCTTTACTGTAATAATTCTTACTATTAGTTTAATCTACAATTATAAATGCAACCGTATCTAATTAACTTATCAAATAGTTTGAATAAAGATGTACTCTCAGGAACACTGTACATTTTCAGACCCTCACAACAATTACAAATGCCTTTAACTGTGTGCAAATTACTCAACTATTCCACAGTTACATATTCTTTTTGTTGCTTGATTATGAACAGCTGAATAATGATAGAGATATACTCCAGACACTCAGTGGTCATTTTATCTCTACTATACATCATTTACTATAGTTTATTATTGACAGATAGGCTATTTTATGCAGACATTTATATTTAAGAGTTTACTGTTTGCTCAATATGTTATTTCTAGTTTGGTAATGGTGGCAACCATTAACCTATCAAATCCCCTCATGATTTTGAAGACCTCCATTAGGTCTCCTCGTAACCTTCTCTGCTCCAATGAGAATAATCCCAGCCTCTCCTCATAATCAAGGTCCCTTATTCCTGGTACCATCCTCACCCGACTCCACTGGCTTCCCATCACACAGAGGATACAGTTCAAGATCCTGGTCCTCACCTTCAAAGCCCTTCATGGACTTGCTTCCCCGTACCTCTGTGACCTAACCCCCTACCATCCTGCCCGTTCCCTCCACTCAGCGAGCTCTGGCCTGTTTCATGTGCCTCACCTTGCCCGCCCCACCATTGGTGGGCGGGCCTTCTGCCACTCTACCCCTACCCTCTGGAACTCCATCTTGCAGACACTCCGTCTCGCCCCCTCCTTTGCCTCCATCAAGACCCATCTCAAAACCCTCCTTTTCGACTCTATGTTCGATCACCCTCCTTCTCCTGCCCTGCCCTCCACCCTCCGCCCTGTCTTCTGCCCTCCCCAAACTCCCACCCCCCAGCTCGGGTCCGAAACAGACTGTCCAACAGACGCCTTGAGACGTCCTCCCGACGTGAAAGGCACAATACAAATGTTATGTTGCTGTTGCTGTTATTCACCTCTCCAAAAGTTTGAATCCCGTCTCCAAAGCCGTGTTCTAGCTCTTGTACTGCAACTTATTTTGTGTTGCTGGACTCATGTTAGCTTTGAAGTATTCTTCAGTTTCAGCTCTGTGCTGACAATTCGGACTATCATTATCTGGATCCAGGATAGCATTTCCTGGGTACCACTATAATGTCCCAAATAGCAGTGATGCTGTGAATCTTGAAACCAAGTAATTTAATAACACTTGCATCTGACATTGGGAGGCTATGACAAAGTGTTGCACAGGATATACTGTGAAGTTTATACTTTGTAGGCAAACATGGCAGCCAATTTGCACACAGGAAAACAATTACTTATGTTCAAATTATGTTAAAATTTATATTATTTACATTAAAATAAAATATTTACATCCCTACTAGTGTACCCAACGTCAGTGCACTATTTGACAGGAATATAACTCATTTTTTAATCTGGGGGTTTGTTGGCCAGGAAACCAGGAGAAACTCCATTTAATTTGACCACTAGGAAGTTGAAACTCCTCGTGTAGGACTGTGGTTGTAAATTCGGTAGTGTGTGTAATTTGGGGAAGTATATATTCCCAGTGGGCATGAATATAAAACGAAAACCTTATGAATTGTTTAGGCCTTCTTTTGATGTTGATGTTTCAAATACCAAATCAATTATCATCCCGTTCCATTGAATTGTCACAGGTTGGGTTGGCCAAATGGTATCACATACCAACTTGCATCATTTTGGGGGCAACGTAAAGACCATGACTGACATGAATCAGCATACATAGCAATTTTGTACATTGGGAATGGAGATCATGCAGTGCCTGTAAGGAAGCTTGTACTGAGTGTAGAGATTCAGTATATCTTTTAGAAAAGAACCATGGGTGGTAAGTTCTTCAACATCTATGGTATCCCTTGAATCCCAAGGTTCCATCCTTGTCTCTTCTTTTTCTCATTTACATGCTGCCTCCCAGCATGTCATCCGCAGACGGATCAACTTCCACATATATGTGGATGATGCCTAAATCTCCAGCTGCGACTCTAGTTCTGCTGATGTTCTGTCAACTTGTTTGTCAGAAATCAAGGCTTGAATGAGGGTTAAGTGCTCCCCACATGAAGATGCTGTATAAATGCAAGTTGTTGTTGTACAGGCACACAAGATACTTGGTTTAGGCATCTAGAGAAGACCACACAACATGGTACACAAAAATCCTATTTGAATCCTTTGATCCATAGTTTGCTCCTGGTGAGGTCACCAAGGCAATGCAAATACAATACACGACAAGGGAGGCATCTGCACCAGCCATTTGGGCCAGTTGTGAGATCGTACCCATTGCATTGTCCAAAACATACAATTATTTTATATTTAAATTGTGTTAAAATGAACATTATTTACATTAAAATAAAATATTTACATCCCTACCTAAGTGCCTAACATCTAGACAGGTTTTGTTTATTTAACACCCAACTGGGAACTCTAGTGATTGCTCATTCCCCTGACTGGTTACATCAGTGTCACGTGTGGTTGGAGCAGAGTGTAATTCCAATTCCAGAATATTTTCTAAAAGATATACTAAATCTCTACACTCCAGACAAGCTATCTTTGCAGGCACTGCATGAGCTCCATTCCCGATGTACAAAGAGGTTCCTTTCTCTAGAGGAAACAGGTGAAGAGGAGAGGAAGAGCAAAATGGCCTCGATGCTGTCATCTGAACCCAAACGCCCACAATATCTTTATCATGGCATTAGCATGTAGGGCAGAAACAAAAGCTTTGAGAACTGCATCATAACATTCCACTTGTGTCTTGATATTGGGGAGGAGGAGTTGTTGGCTCCAAAGGTGGATATTAAGGAATCTTCTTCTTTCCCCTTATGTCTTGCCCATGCCATGTCACTAGTAGAAGCTTCATCAACGGCATCATTATGTGTAGGCAGGTGATATGGATGCAAAGGTGAGATACAATGGTTCACATTTGTCAGTCTGGATGGCCTGGACAAGTTCTTTCAGCAGAGCACTGAACCCATCTACCACTGCTGCTTGAAGTTCAACGATCTCCCGCCCTCCCAAAATCACCTGCAGTGCTAAACTGTGCTTGAAGCTTGGGCAAAGCAGTTTTGCTCTTCCTCCAACCACAACTGGTGGTGACATTTCTCATTCCAATTGAAGCCGATATACTACAGACACTCAGTGGTCAAACATCACCTCATTGTGCTTGTTAAGTCTCATTGAGGTAATTCTAAAGCTGCCTTCTCATTCGCTCATAATTGTGAAACTAAATCAGATTGAGGAATTTCACTCCTTGTACTCACACATCCAACTTAATTACACTTGCACTGTCCAAAGCCCTTTACCCTAGTACCACCAGAATTTGGTACCATTCTGTGGTTAGAGCATCTGACTAAAACTGCAAGAAGCCTCATACAGTAAGGAGCTCTTAAACCGAAGGGTTTTGCATGCCTTTGTCATACTCCACTAATCAAATTAATGAGTAGCAAGAAAGGAGGCACATCTATGAAATGAATCGTTTTTCTATAGGTTATTCTGTATTTTGTATTAGTTTTATTTTTTTTAGAAAAAAACTGCTTTAATGGCTGTTCTTGTGGAAAATAAATAAAAGTGACATTTAGTCTTCCCACTTACTACTGCCAACATTATTGTACTGTTCCAGTAGTTACTCTGACAGGCTGCCGCTGTCCTTCAGTCGTTTTACATTTGTTTTTCTACTTCGGCTGAACTGGAGTTGACAAAAAAACTCTGTGTAGAAAATAGTATTTTTAAAATTATCACGATTAAATTCAACTTAACACAAATTTGATATTTTCAAGAAGTTGCAAATGTTAATTGTTAATTTAATACAATAATCCACAACAGTCGTTATCAATGTTGATTGTTTTATGCTTTTCACGATTGTAATGAACATTGTACATTGTGCAACTAACCATCTTTGAAAAAGTGCTGTTGGGGCGTTTACATTCATCTTATATTAGCAAGCATGCCTTATTTTAGCAATAATCCGAGGGTGACGGGTTTCACATTAACGCTCCTATTTAAGTGATTGTTGCTGTCGTAAATTGGAATGCTATTTGAAAATCTTCCCTCGACTCTTATTGCGAAGATGTAAATGCTGATATGAATATTAATGAAAACAGACCTTAATTTTTTCATTTTTCTTTCAGATGGAAGAAACCTACAACCACAAGGGTCTGTGATCTGGCTGCCAAACAGACTGGGTGTGTGTCTCTGAAGGATTCCTTTGTCCTGAACTGCTGTTTTTTTGTCGAATTAGGAAATGATTGGAATGGAAATGGAGCTCCACCAAAAAGTATGTGAAGAGTAGAAAAGGAGTAAATCTCCCCCCCACCCACCAAAAGAAAATCCAGCAAATTAAGAATTAGAACACACAGGAACAGAATAACCTATAGAAAAAAATGATCAAAAGGTGACACGAGAGAAGGAATTGGAAAAACACATGGGGGGGGAGGGTCGTACAAGCAAAGAAAGTAATAATAATCCTTGCATTTGATATAGGGCCTTATCAAGTCTTTGAGATGTCTCAAAGCACTTCACAGAATATACTGTAAAGTGTAGTGACTATATTTTGTGGGAGAGGTGCCATGGCATGAAGGGATTTGAAAATGAGTTTGAGGATCTTGAATTCGATATTAAGACAAAATTGTCTTACTGGATAATTTCACGACATGGTATGTTGGTACACTGATAAAGAGGTGTCCTTTTCACAAATGTGACAGAATCTGAAGTGATATAATTTGGAAGTAAAAGATAGAAACAGAAAGTTTCAGCCCTAAAGGTCATGTGTGTGTAATTTGTGTTGAGTACACATGATTTCTTTGGCATATATTCTCTCTTCCTACATATCTTGGCCAATCTCATTACAATACTCTGTGGAAATATATTTGATTAGATTTACAATAATAATAATCCTTACATTTGATATAGCGCCTTATCAAGTCTTTCAGAGGTCTCAAAGTGCTTCACAGAATATACTATAACTTTTACTTAAAACTTCTATAACTTTCAAGAGAGAAGTATATGGGTATTTGGGGAGGACACGATTGCAGGGCTATGGAGAGAAAGCGGGCCAGTGGTATTGAGTTGGATTGCTCTTTTCAGAGCTGGCGCAGACACGATGGGTCAAGTGGCCTCTTTCTGTGTTGTATGATTCTATGATTTGAAAAAGCATTGCTAACATTAAAACATGTAACAGAATTTACTAAGTGTAGTTACTGTGTATTTGTAAGCCAATTTGCACACATTAGTGTCCCATAACCAACCAGAAGATGAATGGTCAATTTTAACTGGAGGATTGTTAGCCAGGATATTGGGAGAAATTCTCTTTTCTTTTTGAATAGTGTAAATGGGCTGTTTAATAACCATCTGAACAAACAGAAAGGACATCAGTTTAAGATCTCATCTGAAGGAAAGAAATGCAGACAATAGAGTGCTTCCTCAGCACTGCGATGTCACCCTACATTATGAGCTCAAAGCCCCAATGTTGCTTGAATCTAGAGCATTGATCAGCTGAGCCAGGTAATAAAGATGTATGCACTTAACTTGCACTTGGTATGTTTCTTTCACAAAGCGTACACTAGTAGAAAAAGCAACAAAAAAACACATTTTTGATTTAAGAGTGAGGTATGTAAAACTTCATGTCAGTTTTTAACCTATGGCACAAGATTCATTTAGTTATACAACAATTGTACAACATTTAGGAATACTTCTCTCTTATTCAAAAACTATTAAATCACATCTATTTCCTCAAATGATACAACCAGATAATCATGATCATCTAACAATCATAAATAATATATAGAAAAATATTCATCAATAAAAATTCACATGACCTCAGTTTTCATCCTCATTTTATCAAAGGAACAACTTTTATGGCTATTCTAGATAATTAGATAGTGTCACATCACCAAATGTAAATAATAAATTACCATGTATGGTATAGATTGTCTACATGAAATAGTTTGCAAATACTGGCAATGTAAGGCTTTCTTTTTAAATGATGAACTATTTTACATGCCAAACACTATTTCAATTCAATGGCAAGGCTATATTTTCAACCACAAAGAAAACAGATATTGGCAGAACCTATGGTTCATAAGTACTATTTAACATTAATTCAAGAGCTTTTGCTTTGAAATTATTTAAGAAAAAAACTTGATACCTGTTGAAAGCACAACAACCGCAGAACATTAAGTATGAGTCATATAACTGTCCCTGCTATTTATAAGGACTTGTCAATAAAGGTTGCAATTATTAACAAGGTATTGAAAATGATTTTAATCTTACTAATGAGTTACAATATCAAAATCTATTCTGCAAATTTGCTTTGCAACCCAGATACTTACATTTTTATTGATTAATGAAACTACCACTGTCTATGACAAATAATTAGAATTGCCTGCACAGTTCTTATGCTGAAATGTGCAATAACTGAAAAATATTATTCACGGTGAATGTATAATTTCTTCATTTGGTCCTTTAATCATGTTCTGATTGAAACATAGGGTCCTGCAGTTCAGGATAATGCTTGTATAGAGCCCACACTTCCATTGACTTGCACTGTTTTTGAAGGCACAGGCACCTGAAATGCAAGAAAATTAAACAAATTTACAGTAACATCAATACTTTTCCCCTTTGCTTCCCTTTTCGTTTATTGGGAGTATGTTTCCATGAATATCAGTTGCCCTCTCGTACATCATTCAATATTTATTCATATTTCAACTTTAACAGAGACTTGGCAGGTTACAGAGCTGTTATAAAATGATGATCTACGTCCAATATCTCAGACCCTGGCATTGAAACAAAATTCAAAAGAAAGGCCAACTTCTATGCCATCAGGTTGTTACTGCTGCTATCACTTTCTGTGCATTACACACGTTTTGCACTATCTGCAAGAAGTGCTGCTGAAGAAAGTGATGCTTCCTGCACACAGCATGCTTGCAGAGAAAATGTTACTGGTATTTGTTACACAGGCACAGCGCACCAAAAATTCTATCAACGACACTTACTGCACATTGTGAACAAGAAATTATGTCAGCAGCGAGTTGATAACCCCAAAGACGGCATTTTTTTTAACCACCTTAAGCCAGGTTCAAAACTCTTCAATTATAATGCGAGTCGACTGTAGTATAATGCAATAAGCGAACTCATATAAAGCTAAAGTCTATGCTGTATATTTTACTGAGGAGGACATCCTACCCAAACGCGTTTTCACATGAGCAGTTCCTGCAGGTATTAATGGATAACAATCAGGAGTAGAAAGTCTGTCTGATTTTCTGTCCTAACATCGTACTGTCCTGAATGAGATCAGCTAACTCAAAATACACTAAGGATCAAAGCTTGAACTTTTCTGTTATGCATGGTTTAGGTACTCACTGAATAAAATAAGTGAACCGTTGGACAGAGATGACATTGATCTAATAAATAGAACAAGAGATTTCATATCTTGTGAAAACAAGATTTATTTAGCACTAAAAGGCCAAGGTTGATTGATTGAAGTCATACGTCTGTATTCATGCTTGATGAATTAGTTAACAATCAGCTTCCAGGTGGGAAAAAAATCACCTGTGTTAAACAATTCCAGCCTCTTTCACAAGGTCAGAACGAGGTCCAATGCAGAAGGCTTGTTGGCCCATTTACTATCATCTCAGTGTACAAACGATTCCACCTTCCTGGTACAGCACTAAACTCGCACAGAATCATAGACATTTATGGCACAGAAGATCATTCAGCCCTTTGAGTCTGCACTTGCTCTCAGAGCAAGGTGTTCATTCAACCCCACTGCCCTACTTTATCCCCACATTCTTTCATATCCTTATCTACTTCCCGCTTGAAACCTATAATGAACTCTGCCTCTACTACCTTACTTGGCAAGACATTCCACAAACTCTGAGTGCAAAGATTTTGCTAAACTCTCCTTTCACTTTTCTTGTGACTATCTATGATCCCTAATCACCGTCTCCCCTACTAGTGAAAATAACTTCTCCCTATTTGCCTAAACTGTGAGGCTAGGCTAAACCACCTTTCCTGAGTTGTTTTATCTTCTGGATAAAGAAATATTTCCTGAAGTCTGTCCCAAACTTTCCCTTTTTACCCCTGAATTTGTGACATCAAATCTCAACCGATTAAATTGCATTCAGTAGTTCATATATATCTGTAAGAATCCCTATGAGATGTTTTTCTTCGAGGTTGAAAAATCCTTGTTTATCTTATCACTCAGCAGGTCAGGCAGAATCTATGGAGAAATGAAAGTGAGTCAACGTTTCGGGTCCACGACCCTTCATCAGAACTGGGGCATGTTGGGAGGGAGAGGCTTTTAAGGGCTAACAAAGGATAGGCAGGGCAAGGAAGACAAAGGAGAAAATGGGGTAGAGGACAGGGCATGATGGGTTAGAGGTGTTAATGATGCAAAACAAAGAGGGGGATTGCAACAAAACGGGAATAGAGGTGTTAATAATGTAAAACAAAGGGAAAGGGAAGATTGCAACAAAATAGGCAGACCAGAGAGAGAGAAAAGGTGTGTCTGAGACCCAAATGATGTGGTAATAGTCACAGAAGAAGGGGAGGGGGATGGTGAGCTGTTCCTTTCAGACCATAACAGCTCACCTTGAATCCTGTTTGTACTTCTTAATTTTGGCTTTGGGCATGGTAAACAATGAGTCAGTTAACACCACAATATCTCTTGCCAGGGTCCTTTATATCAGAGTTCTGTCGCTTAGTGGTTAGAGCAGTTGCCTCGAGGACCTGGCTTTGGTTCATAATAATCCTTGCATTTGATATAGCGCCTTATCACGTCTTCGAGACGTCTCAAAGCGCTTCACAGAATATACTGTAAAGTGAATTGACTGTATATTTTGTGGGCAAAATGCAGCAGCTAATTACACACAGTGGTGTCCCACAAATAGTCGTGATTGAAGTTAAAAAACATTTTGAAGGAATTATTACCCCCGGAAAAGCAATCTGCCAATCGACTAACATCGGTTCCTGAGCCAGGCAGGTCTCTGGGCACTCCAAAGCATGAATAATGAGGCATGGATAATGACAAACCAGCCAGCCTGCTTCACTAGAAGCACTTGGTGGGCAGACCAGTCACTGGACCAGGGATTCAACAACAACAAATTACATTTGTATAATGCCCTTCACATCAGGAGGACGTCCCAAGGAGCTGGACAGTTAGGGATTTGGACCCAAGCAGGGGGTTGGGGCAGGATAGATGGAGGGCAGGGAGGGTCACCAAATTGAAAGCTAGACAAAGGGACTGTTGGATGGTGTTCCAAAGGGTGGAGGCAGAGAGGCTGAAGGCCTGGTAGCCAATGTTGGAGCAAGCTGGTCGGTGCACATGGAGCAGGTAAGGGACATTAATCCTGCAAGCGTGCTGAGCAGAGGGATTGGACAGGTTGATATGGGTTTAGCAGGTCACAGATATAGGAAGGAGCAAGGCCAAGAAGGGCTTTGAAGGCGAGGACCAGGATTTTGATCTCCATCCTCTGGGGGTGGGGAGACAGTGGAGCTGGGCAAGGGTGGGGGTGATAGGGTCATGGAGCCTGGTGCAGGAGAGGACAGGAAAGAGAGTTCTGGATGATCTGCAGCTTGTGGAGGGAAGAGTTGGGGAGCCCGACAAAGCAGGGAGTTGGCGTAGTCGAGCCTAGATGTGATGAATACGTGGATGAGATTTTCAGGGTCCTGAGGCAAGTGGTGGAGCTGGGCGATGTTAAGGTGGTGGGGAAAGGCAGAACAGATCATAGCACAGATGTGGGGTACAAAGGACAGTTGAGGGTCAAACAAGATGCCATGGTTCTGGACTGGCTCAGTGAGTTGGAGTGTGCATCCATGCCTGAGTTGTGGAGGTGCTGACAGGAGCCAATCAAGAGGGCCTTGGTCCTTTTGATGTTCAACCGTAGAAAGTTAGCTCTCATCCATCTTGATGTCTAACAGACAATCTGTCAGGACAGCAGTGATCCTGGAGTCTAGGGTGGAAAGAGATACAGACAGTTGGGTGTTCTTCGGCGTACATGTGGAAGTTGACCGCATGTCTATGGATGATGTCACCAAGAGGATATTATGAAGAGGAGGGGACCAAGGACAGAGCCCTGAGGAACTCCACACGAGACAGTGTGGGGGCTAGAGGAAAAGCAGTTTGTGGAGACTGTGTGAGAGGTAGTATCTGAACCAGTCAAGGACAGAATCATGAAGATTAAGGTGAGAGGAGGTAGAGGAGGATAGAGTTGTCAACAGTGTCAGAGGCAGCAGAAAGTCAAGGAGGACGAGGAGACAAAGGGAGCCCTTTTCACAGATGGACAAAATGTTGTTTGTCAGCAAGGCTGTTTCTATACTGTGGGCAGCGCGGAAACCCGATTGGTGGGGTTCGTAGAGGGAGTAGTGGGAGGGGAAGGAGAAAAGCTGGGAAGCAACGACTCATTCCAGGAACATGGAAAGGGAGTTTGGAGATGGGGTGCTAATTGGAGAGCAGGGATGGGTCCTGGGAAGGCTTTTTGAGGATTGAGGTGATGAAGGCAGCTTTTAAGGAGGTTGGAATGGTTTTGGTGGACAAGGAGAGGCTGATGATGTCTATGAATAGAGGGGCAAGGAGGTGGAGTTGGGAGGTAAGGAGAGGGATAGGGATGGGTTGAGATTGAGCAGTTGGGTCATAATGGTGGTGAGAGAGGACGGGGGGGCAAGTTCGAAGGTGTGGAGGAAGGGATGGGTAGGGCCAGAGTGTGAGGGGGAGATGGGGAGGGAGTAGCATCTCACTCAGCTCCTGTTAATCCTGCAAGCCACACCTCCAACAGGTATGCTAGATGAATAGTGGGAAGCTTGCCAGAAACTGCTCTCAATGCAAAGCTATGTTCTTTCAGCTGGTTGAACTCCAGCATTACTCCAATACACATTCTGGGGTCCCCAAACCTTGGCTCTTGCCAACATACGCAAAATAATTAGGTAAGCAGGGTGTGAACCTCCAGGGAGAGTGCACACTCCATTCCAATCACAGTAATTTTCTTGCATTGGTGGCATACATATGTGGAACTCTCAGTCTGGTTTAGATACTCTTAAGCACGATGATGAGTTTTGGCATGTGTCAACACCCGACTGACCAAATAATAATACTTGCATTTGATACAGCACCTTATTACATCTTCGAGACGTCTCAAAGCATGTCACAGAATATACTGTGAAGTGAATTGACTGTATTTTTGTGGGTGAATCACAACAGCCAATTGCACACACCAATATTCCACAAACCGTCATGGATTGAGTGACCAAATTACTATTTTTTTTATTTCTTGAAGGGATTATTACTCCCGGAAAAGTGAAGTGACAATTGACGAACAACCAGGTTCCTACTTGCTGCCAGGTAAACAGAGACATGTGGAGTAAGGAGAAAAGGCCAATTAGTCAAGGAAGCTCGTTGCATTAAAATATGTGGTTATTTGCGTCGTTTCTCCAGTGCAATGCTGTGCAATGCGTAGAAAACACTAAACCTTCAGCTGCTTTTTTTCTCTGACTTAGAATGATGAATTCTACCCACTGTTAGCATGACACCTGGCATGGTTTGTTTGATGGTAGTTTTTCAGACTTTGCCAATTTTCAGGATTTACAATTAGCCAACTGGCAGAACTTGCAAATCAAATGGCTTCTAATTAAATAATCCATGCATTTCATACAGCGCCTTTCACATCAGGACGTCTCTAAGCGCTTTGCGGGATAACTGTAATGTGTCATGACTGTGTAAATTGTAGGCAAACATGACGATGAGTTGTAACAAGAACAACAACATTACCCCCATCCTCTTGAACTTCCAATTACAAATAACTGATGCATAATCATCAGAACCCCTCTCTCCCTGCTGCAGTCCAACCGTTTGTTGCTATGATGATGTTATGTAAATCATTGTATTGTTTATGTTGACCTACTTTACTTGTTAATTCTGTATTTTTACATTTTTAAAAAACTTTTAACAAAAAGCTAAGATTCAGTTCTTATACAATACATACCTTTCTTAAGCGTGCTGCACCAGTGCCCGAACGAATAGCATCCAGTAAGGCAGATCTCGCCTGCTCTGGATTGGCATTAGGTTTTGTAGTAACCTTTTGAGTTTTTGGAATCGCCTGAGGAGGAGGTGGTGGTGGTGGTAGAAGAGTTGAAGGCGAGTTTTCTGGTTTGTGAGTCTCAGAAAACTCTCTGGGCAGCGTTGAAGACTCTGCAGCTCTTGTCTTGACCAGCTCTTCGGATGTTACACCAGACGTCTGTCAATGATAATTTGTAATTCTCATGTTAATAACTTGCATCAGCCCAATTATCTTCAAATCAATAACAACTTACATTTATATAGCATCCTTCACGTGGGGTGTCATCTTGGAACGTTTAACCATGCCAGCCAGAGAGAGAAGACATGGTGGAACAGGAAGGTTTTCAGTCAGAATACCAGGCACAACAGTGAATCTATTGAGTCTTTCAAAATACCTTGTACTCCATAGAAGATGAAAGTTTGGTTATTTAATAGTAATATAACTTGCAATTGATGCAGGACCTATAATAGCCAAAATAAACTGGGAAATTAGACTTAAGGATTTGACGGTAGACCAGCAATGGCAGACGTTTAAGGAGATAGTGCAAAAGCACGTATTCCTTTGAGGAATAAGAATGCCACGGGAAAGGTGGCCCAACCGTGGCTAAAGGAGCAGTTAGGGAAAGTATAAAATTAAAGGAAGAAGTCTATAAAACAGCTAGGATGAGTAGTAAACCCGAGGATTGGGATCAACAAAGGAGAACCCAAAAAGTGATTAAGAGGGAAAAAATGGAATATGAGGGCAAACTAGCGAAGAACATAAAGACAGACTGCAAGAGTTTTTATAAATATAAAAAAAAGAAGAGGCTGTCAAAGGTAAATGTGGGTTCGCTACAGGCAGCGACGGGGGGAATTATAATAGAGGACAAAGACATGGCAGAGTCATCAAACAAGTACTTTGCTGCTGTCTTCACCTTAGAAGACACTGAAAACCTACCAAGAATAGAGGGGAACCAAGAAGAAAATGTTAGTGAGCAACTTGGAGGAATTAATATTAGTAAAGAAATGGTTTTAGGTAAATTATCAGGTCTTAAAACTGATAAATCTCCTGGACCTGATGGCCTACATCCTCGGGTTTTAAAAGAGGTGGCTACTGAGATAGTGGATGGCTTGTCTTTGATCTTCCAAAATTCTCTGGATTCCGGAACGGTTCCCATTGATTGGAAGATTGCAAACGTGACACCACTATTTAAGAAGGGTGGGAGAGAAAAGATGGGGAACTATAGACCAGTTAGTCTGACATCAGTGGAAGGGAAAATTCTTGAGTCCTTAATTAAAGATGTCGTTATGAGATTCCTGGAAGACCATAACAAGATTAGGCAGAGTCAACATGGCTTTACAAAAGGGAAGTCATGCTTAACTAATCTTTTAGAGTTTTTTGAAGATGTATCTAGCAGGTTAGATAGGGGGGAACCTGGAGATGTAGTATATTTAGATTTTAAAAAGGCATTTGACAAAGTGCCACACAAAAGGCTATTGGACAAGGTTAAGGCCCACGGGATTAATGGGAACATATTAGCATGGATTGAAGAGTGGCTAACGGGTAGAAAACAGAGAGTAGGGATAAACGGGTCATTCTCGAATTGGTAGGATGTGACTAGTGGAGTGCCACAAGGATCAGTGCTTGGGCCTCAGCTATTTACATCAATGATCTAGACGAGGACATTGAGTGTAACGTATCTAAATTCGCGGATGACACTAAACTAGGTGGGAAAGTAAGCTCTGAGGATGATGCAAAAAGATTGCAACGGGATATAGATAGGCCTGGGGAGTGGGCGAGTAGGTGGTAGATGGAATTTAATGTGGGGAAGTGTGAAGTTATTCACCTTGGTAGAAAAAATAGAAAAACAGATTATTTTCTAGAGGGGGAGAGATTAGATGGTGTTAGTGTTCAGAGGGATTTGGGTGTCCCTGTACACCAGTCTCAAAAAGTTAGTTTGCAGGTGCAGCAAGCAACTAAGAAGGCGAACGGCATGTTATTCTCTGGAGTACAGAAGAATTAGGGGAGATCTTATTGAAACATATAAGCTTCCTAAAGGGCTGGATAAAGTAGACACTGAGGGTCTGTTTCCCCTGGTAGGAGAATCTATAACCAGGGGTCACAGTCTTAAAATTAAGGGTCAGCCTTTTAGAACAGAGTTGAGGAAACATTTCTTCACTCAGAGGGTAGTGAATTTATGGAATTCACTACCCCAGAAGGCTGTAGATGCTCAGTCCTTGAACATCTTCAAGGCTGAGACTGATAGATTTTTAAAAAATAGAAGGATTAGGGGATATTGGGATAGGGCAGGTAATTAGAGTTAGGTCTGAAGATCAGCCATGATCTTATCGAATGGCGGGGCAGGCTCGAGGGGCCGAATGGCCTACTCCTGCTCCTAATTCTTATGTTCTTATGTTCTAATAAATGAAAATGGAAATACAAGAATTTTATTATTAATGTCTCAAGGCACTTTACAAAGTTTAACAAAGATTAAATGGAAAGTCAGTTTCTGATGTGCTAATAACAAAAAACATTTGGCCATTGTCTCTATCCAAGATGCATGAAAACAAATAGATTTTTTAACATTTCATTGAAACAATTTTTCAGCAGCTAACTTACGCCAGCAATGTCCCACGAACAGCCGTGACGTGAATGACTAATTTTATCTGGGGGATTATTATCAGGGTACCAGAGGAAAGTCCCTTCTCTTTTCATATAGTTCCATGGGATCTTTATTATCCACCTGTTGAGGCAGATGGGGCCTTGGTTTAATGTCTCAACCGAAGGGTGGTACAACCAGCATTGCAACATAACCCCGGCACTGCATTGGAACGTCAGTCTAGATAATGTGAGACTCAATGTGGGATTTGAACCCACAACCTTTTGACTTATAGGCGAAAGAACTGCAAACTGAGACAGGTTGACACAGATAAAGATAAGGGTAAGAGGAAGCGTTGGAGGGAGCTCCAGAGATTAGGGGCATAGAATTTGAAGACTTGGCCAATGATAGTGGTGCAGAAGGGGGTGGGGGACATGCATCAGGCCTGATTTAAGAGAAGATCAGAGAGAGAGGAGACACTAGGGCATAACAGCCTCCATAGGAGAGGATAATAACTTTGAAATTGATCTGCTAGGAGACAAGGAGCCGATAGGCACTGGTGAGGAATAAATGATATGTGTGTGGAGTTTTGTGCAGGTGAGGATGCAGGTAGTAGAGCTTTAGTTAAGTTGGAGCTTAGGAATGGTGGAGCTAGTGAGACCAGCGAGAAGTCTCAGTGGGAGGTACCAAAGGCATGAATAAGGGTTTTGTGATACAGGTGAAGAAAAGCAGCCTTTGTCAAGGACCAGATGTGAGAGAGAGAGGCGAGCAGAGGATTGAACTGGACTGGTTTAGTGAGTTTGAGAAAGAAGTCGTCGAGGTTGAGGAGGTCAGAGCCAGAAATGAGAAGATGTTGGCAGGAACCAAGGAGGATGGTATCCGTATTATCCATATTGAGTTGCAAGAAACTAGGAAGTCGTGAGGTTTGATAAATAAAATGAAACCTTTGTGGTTTATTGCAGGTTGTAAAGAATGGCATTTTGCCAACCAATGTTGGAGACATTTACTAGGCTCAAGAGTCATAAAGTATAGGGGAGGTGCAGGAGGCATGAGCACCAAATAATATGTGATGAAACAAGAGTGAATATATAATATTTTAGCCAAAATTTACAAGAAATAGTTATAAACTAGCAAGAATAATACAAATGATATTCCTATCTAATGGAGAAACGTTTCACAAGAATTATGAAAGGTGTGTGACACTCAAGCTTACTTCAAATGCTGCTTGCTTAGTTCAGCCTTTAACACCCTTGCTCTAACAATAAGCCCCCCCCCCCAAGCTACAGTCGGCACACTGAGTTCAGCATTTATCTGATTACAATGTGAACTGTAATCCAGCAATAAAACATAATGTTGTGTAGCACAGCCTCACACCCTGGTGTGATGATCTGGCACATATTCTCAAGACTGCATTTGAGCATAAATAATCAACAAATTCACCACCTATTATCCGCTAGCAATTTAGAAAAGACTTTAGTCAGTCTCAAGCTATCCACAAAGTTATTTAAGCATTGCGTAATTTTTTTTCAATAGTTTTGAGATGAGAAATCAATATTAGGAAGGAACAGGCTGGCTTCCATTCTCATGAGGAATATGTGGGACAGGTTGTGACTTTGTATAATATCTCAGAATGTCGTAAGATTAAGGGGAAACCCATTTCTTTGTGTTCATCACTTTGGACCTGTTCATCACTTTGGACCTAGTGCCTCACAAAGCCCTCATCATGAGACTGGAAGCCTTAGGCCTACATGGCCAAATCTTAGATTTTATCCAGAATGTGTATTCTATTCCAGCTCCAAGATCTGTGTAAGAGTCGATTGCGTCTTGAAAGGAGGGTAAAGCGAGGCTGCTCATTGTCACCCACCCTATTTGATGTATTCATCAATGATTTGTTGGATAGCATTGAAGGGGGGAGGGGTGGGAACTTGGTGTATCTGTTCCAATCCTCTATGACAGGATTGCAGCGCTTCCGTTTGCAGATGATATTGTGCTGGTGGAGGACTCACCTGGGGACCTTTTGCATTGCACCCACCATCTTGAACACTGGGCCATGATAGTGGGTGCCTCCAAGTGCAGAATCATGGTTCTGCATGCCTCAAGGGAAAACATCAACAGTATTGATTGGAAGATAAAGGAGCATCAGTTCAAATTGTTTAATTCTAATTGATACCTGGAGTTTTTGGTGGACATCAGCTTCGGCATGTACACTGCCCTGAAGGACCACGCAAAGGGGCGAAGGGCACTCTTGTCATACTCGCCTCTCTTCAAGGACAGTAAGGTCCCAATGCAGGTCAATGTCCCAATGTCAAGTATGTGGCATCAAGACCTACGTACAAACAGCTCTCCTTTATGGATCTGAGCTACTGGGGATGAATTGGAGGGGTTTCTTCTGGCCCACTTGCAAAATCCAGGATCAAGCAGCAAGGTGGATTTGTGGCAAACGCAGGAAGTGGCTGCAGAGAGGGAGAGCTCTGGCCAACACTGACCTGTCATCGGCCAGTGTACATCTTTGGAATATCCATGTGTAGATGGGGTGCATGGAACTCTGGTTTGGATACTCTTAATTATGGTGATGGGTTTCCGCATGTGTCAGTCAACT